GGAGGGACAGGACACAGGGAATGGCTTCCCACTGCCAGAGGGCAGGGTTAGAGGGGATATTGGGAAGGAATTCCTGGCTGGGAGGATGGGGAGGTGCTGGAATGGAATTCCCAGAGAAGCTGTGGCTGCCCCTGGATCCCTGGAAGTGTCCAAGGCCAGGTTGGAGGGGGTTTGGAGCACCCTGGGCTGGTGGAAGGTGTCCCTGCCCATGGCAGGAGATTAAAATGAGATCATCTTCAAGGTCCCTTCCCACCCATCTGGGATTCTCCAGTGATCCAGGTGAGTGCATCCCCTGCTCCTCTGACACTTCCATGGACTCACAACTTAAAAACCTTTTTAAATCCTCGTTTTCAGCCCCTCCAAACCCTCCGTGTGGGAGCAGCTGGGGAAGGACCCTCCTGCCCTTCCTCCCCCTCACGGTCCCATCGATGCTCCTCTGCTGCAAAGCATCCCCAAAAAGAAAAAGCCTGAAAACATGGAAAACATCCCAGTGCTCAGAAAATCTCCTCCTTCTCCACCCCCACCATCCCTGATGCTCCAAAGTGTCCCAGATGTTTGTGGGGAACCAGCCTGGCCACTCCAAACTGGCTGCTCCAAAGAGGAAAACGAGGCTCTGGATCAGGGAATGAATGGATTTAGGGGGAGATTTTTGAGGAATGTCCTTAAAAAAAAAAAAAAAAAAGGAATGGTAAATATCCCAATTAATATTCCCACTGAATAATTAAATATATTTCCATGAAATATAATTATAATCACTTAATGATCAGTTAATTTCACGAGGAATCATTAGAATAATTTCGTGATTATGTTTGGCAAAAGCACAACGTGCAAAGTCTTGGCATTTTAGCATCAAGTAAAGAAAATCATTTAAATTTACATTTAATATTTATTTCATTAATAGGAAATTTAAATCGAATATTTAATGAAAAAAAAATCTTTCTAAGCCACTTTTTGTGGCAGAACCAGGGAATTACAGAAGTGTCACATCCAGGTGCTGCTCAATGGATCTGAGAAATCCCTTTTTTTGTTGTTGTTTGACATGAAAAGCTTTAATGGGAACAACTCAAAGCTTTAAAAGAGGCCTCGTGTCCCTGGCACCTCATTTTGGGAAAAATCCTTCCACTGAGATCCCAGGCCAAAGGAGGAGCAGGAGCTCCTGGAATAAATGGGAACGAAAAGTATCAAACACCTGATTTAAGGTGAGTTTAAATATTGAGAATGTTGCAGTAAATTATCCTTCAAAACCAGATTTTTTACCAACTTTTCATATAATTTCAACCTGAAGATGGTTTTGCCACTTCCTGTGTAATTTAAATATTAAAACACAATTCAATTAAGGTTGACTGCATTTTGTGGGATTAAAAAGTGATCATTTTTGGTTTATTTTAAGGGAAGAGCAGAGCCTTCAAATCCTGATGGGTTTGGGGGTGTTTTTAACGTGACAGAGACACCAAATTGTCCTGGGGAAGAATTATTTAGACAATTCTGAGATTATTTAGATTTTAAGCCATATTAGCAATTGATTTCTATTTTACTTATTGATTTCTATTTTATGTACTGATTTCTGTTTTATTACTACATTTGTATTTTACTTATTGATTTCTATTTTATTTCTTTATTTGTATTTTACTTATTGTTTTCTATTTTATTTATTTGTATTTTACTTATTGATTTCTATTTTATTTCTTTATTTCTGTTTTATTTTAGATCCCCAGTGCAGTGGGAACACCCTGAGGACAGAGGGGGTCGTGTCCATCAGATCCAGCACATACTCCAAGGTTTTTCATCTTCCACTCTCCCCTTTCCCAAGTAAATAATTCCATGACCTTGGATTGCTTAAAAATGAATTTCTGTGGGTGGTGAACGAGCAGCTTTGGCTCCAGTCAGGATTTGGGGGATGGATCACAGGAGGAAAAGGTGGAGAAGGAACACGGAGATCCTGGGAAATGGGGGAGCAGCAGGAAAGGGGGATTGTCCCCCTGTGCCCCTCAGGGGAGACCCCCCTGCAGAGCTGCTCCAGCCCTGGGAACAACATCCAAAGGACGTGGAGCTGCTGGAGCAGATCCAGAGGAGGTCACGGAGATACTCCAAGGGCTGGAGCCCCTCTGGAGCCAGGCTGGGAGAGCTGGGAATGTTCACCTGGAGAAGAGAAGGATCCAGGGAGAGCTGAGAGCCCCTTCCAGGGCCTAAAGGGGCTCCAGGAGAGCTGGAGAGGGACTGGGGACAAGGGATGGAGGGACAGGACACAGGGAATGGCTTCCCACTGCCAGAGGGCAGGGAGAGATGGGATATTGGGAAGGAATTCTTCCCTGGGAGGGTGGTGAGGCCCTGGCACAGGTTGCCCAGAGAAGCTGTGGCTGCCCCTGGATCCCTGGAAGTGTCCAAGGCCAGGTTGGAGCAACCTGGGCTAGTGGAAGGTGTCCCTGCCCATCCAGGATCTGGGTAATATTTAAGGTCCCTCCCAGCCCAAACCATTCCAGGATTCTCTGGGATCAGGTCAGAGCAGCACGGGTCCTGCTCCCTGGGCAGTGTGTCCGTGGGGCAGCTGAGCCATCCCTGCCCTTCCCGTGCAGCCAGGGGGGGGAATTTGGTCCAAAGCTCGGCCAACTTCCCAAGAAACAATCAGGTAGGGAGAGGGAGGGAGTTTTCCAGCCGGGATCAGCTGCCTCAGCTCCAGCTCTGCCTCTGCACAACCCTCTCCTGCCTTCCCCGCCCGGCTCTCCGTGACAGCGGCGGCGGAGCAGGAATGTTTTACTACCTGGTTTCTGGTCCTGACATTCCCATGGCAACCTCCTCCCCCAGAGGAGTCCCAGTTTAGAGCTGCACAAGCAGGATCTGTTCAGGAAGGAATAAAGGTGGCAGTATGGAAAAGACACTTCCCCGTGTGTTCCTGACGGGCCGTGAATGGCGACGGAAGCGCCGCTGGATCCGAGGCCGTGTGGGTTTGGCAGGACACGCTTCCCAAGGGCAGGGGGCTCAGTGGGGCACGGAATGTGAAATCAAGGACACTGCAGGAGGAACATCCAAGAGCTGGGATCAGCTGGAAGAGCCAGGATGCAGCAGGGACCTGGTGTGTGGCTGTAGGACAGGAGGGACAACAGGAATGAGGCAGGAGAGGGCCGGGAGTGACCAGTGTGGGCAGGAGTTGTGCCTTGTCCCACCTGTACATCCCAAATCTGGTCCATCCCTGCCTGCCCTCCTCGGGAACACCGTGTCCCTCTGCCAGGACCCCTTTGGTGTCACACCTTTGGAGCTGGGAAAAGGCTCGTTGAACGTGGCAGCTCCATGTGGATTTTCCTTTGGTTTCCTGAGATAACAAGATCCTGCAGTAATTTGGGACTGATGGGGGGCTGCTGCTGGATCTGGTGTGAGCATGGGGGATTTGAGGAATTGTGGAGGTCTGGAAAAGGAAATGGAGGGGGGACAGGGGGTGGGAAGGCAAGGAGGGAGCAGGAGGAGGGAGGTGTGGACAATTCAGGGAGGAGAGGGAAGGGGAGGGAGGGATGAGCGCCTGTGGAGAGCAAAGATTCCCATCTCCCTTCTCTGGTTTTGCTGGCAAAAGGAAGCCCCAAACCCCAAAATCTTGCTGCCATCACCCTCCTTCCAGCCCAACTCAGCAGAGGAGCAGCACCTCCCTGTCCCTGGGAGCTGAAGGACTCTGGGAATGGGTCAGTCTGGGAAACCAGGCTCTCCAGCCCTGGATTTCCCTAATTTTGAGAGCCCAGTTTCCCCGAGTGACCCGTTCCCAGAGAGCAGCCCCTGCTCTGCTCAGCAGCACGAGGCTGGAGGGGCTGGAGGCACGGCAGGAGCACGGACAAGGGGGATTTGGAGGGATGCAGGGCTTGGAATGTTGCCTCCCGCAGGTGCAGCACCATGGGCACAGCAGGAGACACCGAGTGGCTGCACTGGGTGACAAAGCAGTTCGGGAACATCGCCGGGAAGGACAAGGAGATCAGCCTGGAAGAGTTCAAAAGTGCCCTGCAAGTGAAGGAGGTGAGGGGTCCTCAGGGATGGGCCGTGGGGGTCCTGCTCCAGGACAGCACCCAGCTCTGCCCCAGGGGGGGGACTGAGGGAAAATCCAGCTTAAAAAATGGGACTGTGTGGTGTTTATGGAGTTAGAGAATCCTGGGATGGTTTGGGAAGGAAGGACCCTAAAGGTCTCCTCATTATACCCTGTACAGGGTGGTCACAAAACCTGCTCCAAGGAAAGGTGTCTCTGCCCATGGCAGGGGGCTGGAACGAGGTGCCAGAGGACAGGATTAGGTGGGATATTGGGAAGGAATTCTTCCCTGGGAGGGTGGTGAAGGACTGGAATGAAATTCCCAGAGAAGCTGTGGCTACCCCTGGATCCCTGGAAGCATCCAAGGCCAGGCTGGGGCAACCTGCTGTGGTGGAAGGTGTTGCTGCCCGTGAGAGGGGGTGGAACAAGATGAGCTTCAGGGTCCTTCCGAGCCAGGCATTCCACAATCCCACGACTCGGGATCATCCCAGCTCCCGTGGTGCTCCCACAGTCCTTCTTTGCCGAGAGGTTCTTCGCCCTGTTCGACACCGACGGCAGCGGCACCATCAGCCTGGAGGAGCTGCTGAGGGCCCTGAGGCTGCTCGTGCACGGGGACCAGCGGGACAAGCTCAGCTTCCTCTTCCAGGTCTACGACGTGGACGGTGAGACGAGGGAAAACACGCTGAGCCGTGGTTTTTTGGGATAAAGTTGGGATTTGGAAGGTGGGAGGGCTCTGCTCTGAGCAGAGCCAAGGGCTGGCGGGGGGTCTGCGCTGCTGGAGCTTCGTGTCTGTCTGGGATCATCATTCCATGGTGAGAACATCAAAAGTCCGTCTGAAAGGCAACAATTAAATTGGCCACATGTCAGGAATTCCCATGGAGTGCTTTCACCCTCAGCCATGGAGAGGAGTGGGCTCTGCTCCACTCAAACACCAACTCCCCATCCCGGTTTCATGGACCTGGAGGATCATTTTGGTTGGAAAAGCCCTTTGAGATCGAGCCCAAGCTCCCCCAGCACTGCCAAGGCCACCACTAACCACGTCCCCAAGTGCCACATCCACAGGGCTTTTAAACCCCTCCGGGGAGTGGGGACCCCACCCCTGCCCTGGACAGGTTGTTCCAGTGCCCGACCACCCTTTCCACGAAGGAATTTTCCCCAGTGTCCAACGTGCCCCCCCAGGCAGCGGCTCCATCGAGGCAGAGGAGCTGCAGCTGGTGCTGCGCTGGTGCCTCCGGGAGAGCTCCGTGTCCCTGCCCGAGGAGCGCCTGGGGGACCTCACCAGGGCCCTCCTGGAGGCGGCTGACAGGGACCACAGCGGCTCCATCACCTTCCCGGAGCTGCAGGAGCAGCTGGAGGCCTTCCCAGAGCTCATGGAGAACCTGACCATCAGGTGGGACCCTCTGGCTGGGAGTGCCCCCCCCGGGGGGCACCTTTGTCCTCCTGCCTGGAGGAAAACTGGGGGATTTCTGCTCCTGTGGAGGCTCTCGGGAGGGGGCGGGGGGGTAAACTGGGCAGGGCTTGGCTGGCACTGGGAGCAACTTGGGAGCCTTGGGCTTGGATGCAGGGCTAGTGTTGGGGTGGGGGTTTGCATGTTGGGATGGGTGCAGGGATGGGGGTTTGGATTTTGGGATGGGTGCTGGGATGGGTGCAGGGATGGGTGCAGGGATAATGCCAAGCCAGGTGCTGGTCTTGGATTCAGGGATGGGTGAGGGGTTGGTGTTGGGGTGGGTTTGGGATTGTGATAGGATGGGTGTGGGACTTGGGTACAGGGGTGAGTGCAGGGATGATGCCACACTGGGTGTGGGGCTTGGATGCAGGTCTGGGTGCAGGGATGGTGCTGGGATGGATGCAGGGATGGATTTGGGATGGATGTAGGGCTGATGCCACACTGGATGCTGGGCTGGGATGCAGGTCTGGGTCCAGGGATGGTGCTGGGATGGATGCAGGGATGGTGCTGGGATAGATGTAGGGCTGATGCCACACTGGATGCAGGGGTAGGTGCTGGGGTGGTGCAGGGGTGCCCCACGCTGGTGCCAGCCCGGGCACACGCCCGCCCCAGCTCCCCCTTCCCGGGAAGGCAGCTCCGCTCCTTTCTCCCAGTGCCGCCAGTTGGCTGAAGCCCCCGGAGCCCCCGGAGCGGCCCCGCCCGCGCTGCCTGTCCCGGGGCTACTGGTACAACCACCGGGGCCAGCTGGGCTGCCTGGGGGGCTTCGCCGCCCTCAACCTGCTGCTCTTCACCCTGGCGGCCCTGCGGCACCGCGGGCTCGGCCCCGCGATCATGGTGGCCCGGGGCTGCGGGCAGGGGCTCAACCTCGACTGTGCCCTCCTGGCTGTGAGTGTGGGGCACGGGGAGGGGTTTCGGACTGTGGGGGGCCGGGAGGGATGGGGGTCTGCTGGGAGTCCAGGAGGGATGTTGCCCCCAGCATTTCCAGTTGCCCCCCAGCATCTCCACATGCCCCTGGTATCTCCCAGTGCCCCCAGCCCCTCCCCTTGCCCCCTGGCATCTCCTACTACCCCCAACATCTCCCACTGTCCCCCAGTATCTCCCATTGCTCCCCAATATTTCCCATTGCTTCCACCACCTGGCACCTCCAATTACCCCAAATATCTCCCATTACCTCCCTACCACCTCCAATTACTTCAGATATCTCCTGTTATCCCCCTGGCATCTCCAATTACCCCAAATATCTCCCTTTGCCCCCCAGCATCTCCCGTTGCCCCCAACAGCTCTAATTGCCTCCAGCACTTCCAATCATCCCCAAAATCTCCTGTTGGCCCCTGGCATCTCCAGTTACACCCAGTGTATCTCATTGCCCCCCAACAACTCCACTTGCCCCTGGGATCTCCCGTTTCTCCCCAGCACCTCCCGTTGCCCCCCTGCTATTTCTCATTGCCCCTCCCAGCATCTCCTGCTGCCACTGCCACCTCCAAATGCCCCCCACACCTCTCATCATCCCCTGGCACCTCCCATTGCCCCCTACTATCCCTCACTGCCTCCCACCATCTCCCATTGCCCCCACCGCCTCCAAGTGCCCCTGGCATGCCCAGTATTCCCCTGGCACCTCCCGTTGCCCCCCCGGTATCTCCACGCGCCCCCAACACCCCTCCCTTTGTCCCCCCGCCCCGGAGGTGCCGATGCTGCGGCGGTGCCTGACCTGGCTCCGCTCCACGGCCGCCGCCGAGGCGCTGCCCCTGGACCAGCCCGTGCAGTGCCACCAGCTCGTGGGGTACGTGGTGCTGGCCCTGGGGGCCGCCCACAGCGGGGCTCACATCGCCCACCTCGGTGAGCGCCGGGGCTGCGGCGGGGGATCGGGGCAGAGGGCGCGGGGAGAGGGTGCTCCTGTCCCGGGGGATGGAGGGATCCCGGGGGGATGGAGGGATCCCGGGGGGATGGAGGGATCCCAGGGATACGTGTCCTGGGGGATGCTCGTGTGGAGGGGGATGCCCGCATCCCAGAGGGATGCAGATGTCCCGGGGAAGGGAGCTGATGTTCGGGGGGGGATGCTCCTGTCCTGGAGGGGTGTGGATACCCCAGGGAGGGGATGCTCGTGTCCCGGGGGGTGCACATGGCCCAGGAGGGGGATGCGAGCCCTGGAGAGGGGGTGTCCATGCCGAGGGGGGCTGCGAGGGTACAAGCGGGGCGTGGGCAGGGTGTGGGCAGGGCACAGGCAGGGTGTGGGTAGGGCACATGCAGGGTGTGGGCAGGGTACAGGCAGGGTGTGGGCAGGGCACAGGCAGGGTGTGGGTAGGGCACA